CGTACCGCAAGGATGCGTTTCAATTCCTGGCCGACCACGAGGGGACGACATCTGCTTTCCGCAACGTCGAGCGCATCACCGCAGTAGACACCGAGACGCTCCTTTCCTCTTCCCCGGCGAGGTCGATAAAACCGGAAGCTTCCGATGAGTCGCGAGGCTAGGCTTTCTCCGCAGCTTTTCTCACTTTCTTCCGTGGCGGAACCGTTGGACACGAGAGATCCGCCGTCGATTAATGCCAGGTTACGTCTCGAATCCGATGTCCGAGTTATGTAAACCGTGGCCGGTCTTCCTGGTCTTCCCTCGTTCGTCCTTCCTCGAATCCTCCTCATCGAAATCAAAGATGCTCTCTCTAGGATGGAATTCGTCACTTCCCGAAAGTTGCTCGTATCCCTGGACCAAGTGCTCAAGATCCCTTCCTCTCGACCACCTGTCCACGTGTTCCTCTTCCGTCACGTGGATCTTGCATCGTCCAATAGACGCCTACATATTGAAACCTTCCACGCCGTTACCACTTATATACAGCTAAAAGACACTATTACAACTATTACTCCAGAGTAGAAACTCACGGACTAATGGCACACTCCCTGAAAAGCACGTAATCCGCGCCCGGGCTGCGCGGAATCACGGTCCCGAGTCGCCGTCGAGGATGCACCGCACGGAACGTGCGATTACAGTTCGTTAATAGCAGGAAGTACGTTCAACTTGGGTCAAACCCCCCGGGACGTCGCGTAATTGCGGGATCGTAACGATCGGAACTCCCGGCGGACGTCTACGACGCCGGGTAAAATACCTCGCAATCGTACTTACGTAACGCACCTATAATAAATACAAAATCCAAGCAGTCGCACCGAGACCGCCGTGTCCCCCACCTACGAGACGATCAACCCGGAACGTGAGATAACCCCCTTCTAGGTTACGTATCCCCCGGACTTACTTCGAAGTTCAGCGCCGAGTACCGGGAAGTTCTCTTCGGGTCGGACATCCGTCGAGGGGGGTTGGCGAGGATCCGTGGAGCGTGATTCACCCCGCGGGCCGGCCGACCGGCGAGGGGTAGCTTCCGGCGCGGCACCCCATCGAGAACTGAGCCCTCGATCCGTGGACCGAACATCTGTCCCACCCCTCCCTGCGGCGGGCTTCCCCTTCCCCCACCACCGCCCGCATCCTAGCCCTCGCCCCTCCCCCTTCCCCTCCGACCGCATCGACGCGCGACCCGCTCCTCAGTACCGCACGGACCCTATGCGGGCCCGCATCTCATGTGTTCATCCCCCTCCTCGTCCCTTTTCTAGTCAGCCTTGAAGCGCGCGAAATTCAAACGCGATGGTTCATCATTTCGAGGATCAACACCCCCAATTAGTAACAGGGATTAGGGTGAAATTTCTTAACTACCCTGAGATAAAAGAGGCTCATTCAAGCAAAGAAATATTTCTTTGAACAGTGCCGAGGGGAATATTTTGTTAATACAAGGAATAAATATTTGACTGAGATAAATTGTCATAATTCCAAAGGAATGTTGCGTCTAATTAATTCAAGCTTATTTCGGACGAATAATTATTCTTTCAATTAATAAAATCTTTCGTTTTGATTAATATCATCTCCTCGGTGTATGATTAAGTTAATCTAAAATTGGTGCAATTCGCGTTACGGGAAATTTAAAGATAATCGAAGATTAGAATCCATTGTTCGGTAATTATTTGAGGTCGGGTGATTAACTATAATCACGCGTTAAGTAATCCTCGATTAAGGATTTTAGATAGGCTTTACTAACGGGTGAAGTCGGCCCTAGATACTTAGAGGGGAAACCTTGAATATTAAATATGCTAATTCATGAAGCTAACGCACGTTAATCAGGGTCAGTTCGCGACGCCTTGGGCGAGGTCGAGGTGCCTCGGTGCGCGAGGTGGCTCCCCTCGAGGCCGTTTCATCGGCTCGTCGGAGCGAATTGCCTCTAAGGGGAGTCGCTCGCTCCAATTGGAAGGAATTGGCACCAATTAGGGCCAGGCGGTGATTTCGCGTCGCGCTATCCGATAGTCCATCTCGAGGTGACACACCGTTTCGCGTAGCGTAGCTGATTGCTCCCGAGCGAGGACAAACCCTTTCGGGACGACTCTTAACTGGCCTCGAGTGCAATGGCATCCGGCTCCGTACCCTGACGGCTCTATTGCTCCCCCTCGAACGTACGGCCACCACGTGGTAACCTTCCCAGAAGAAAGGATCCCTTACGCGCCGACCGCGGTCCGATCGGGCCCTGAAAGAAAACGAAACGGCCCGCAAGAAGAGGCTCGCTAAGTGGATACTTTAACCTTAACGATCGGCTTAAAGCGGCGACTCGGTCCACGGCCGAGCAAGGCCTACTATATGGACAGGAATCGATACCGTACGGAAAGCGCGAACGAGTCACTGATCTCGTCCCACGCTCTCGATACTTTCGCCTCCTCGTATGAAAAACCAGATTTCTGGGTGTACCTCGATCTGCCCTAGCGATTCCCCTCTAACTTACCAACGGGGATTGAACGAACTCCGGATATCACCTGAAAAACACGATTTGTCATTTACTTTTTCTTTTTTTACCGGCTTTACTCCGGTCTCGCGTATGACGTTACGCGTGGATTCGCTCCGGCGGAAATGTTATTTCGGCACGTGTGAAGTGACTCACCGCAGCCGGGACACCCGATGAAGCGTGTAAGCCGAGGCTCGTTTACGTAGGAACCTGCCGTGCCGACGCGAATCACGGGCTGTGGGCGCTGGGAACATAAATACCGGTAAGCAGCGGTAGATCGAACCCAGACCGAAGGTTAGGAGAGTTTCCTGAACGGTGGGTCGTCAATTCGACATCCGCGAAGCCTGCCGAGCCTCGAGGCGGGTTTCCCACGTCACGTCACGTCACGTCACGTCACGTCACGTCACGTCACGTCACGTCACGTCACGTCACGTCACGTCACGTCACGTCACGTCACGTCACGTCACGCCACGCCACGCCACGCCACGCCACGCCACGCCACGCCACGCCACGCCACGCCACGCCACCCCACGCCACGCCACGCCACGCCACGCCACGCCACGCCACGCGGAGAGTCGACAGCTGTGCCCGCCAGCCCACGTGGCATCCCTTCTCAGGGTGCAAGCTTTATCGATTTCATCGCCCCGCCATTCATCCGGAACCCTCGCCCGAAACGTTCAGAAAATCTACGGTCAAACCGAAAATAAGATGATTCACAGTACCACTACACCTTTCACGGCGTACTTGGTATTTTCTCGTATGCACCCATCCTTATGATAAAAACCAATCGGGAGTGATGCAGAGAATTAAACACAATTTTGATTGGTTTTTCCTTAGGACGCGTTGACGCGCCGCGCTGAGTGCGACGCTGGTGGAAGTAGTAAAAAAAATTGTTCGACAATATCTAGGACAAGAGGTATTATGGCATTCATAGCTCGCGATGAGCCAACTACACGTATCTCCAGGGTACTCGGGGAATTTAAATTATTAATTGTGTGGACTTTAAGCCGGGTCTTTTCCCGCGCAGTTGCAGAGATGAACGGGGAAGAAAAAAATGGCGGAGCGATGAAAGCGCGCCGGGAATGGAATCCAAATGTTCGGGAGAGTTCCCCGTCGCACCCTTTGGAGCACTCTTAACGAGCAGCCGCCAGAAGCCGTTCTAATTGGACTTCGATGACGAATGCCGGGGCGACGGAGCTCTACTCCGAGAGGGGAAGAGCCGGGGTAGGTTATCCCGGCTCGTCCCTTTATCTGGGAATTCGATATCCCCCGGGAACCGAAAAGAACGAATTAAAGCTACGAGGGAAACCCTACGAAAATCTCCACCGCTTCTAACCCTCGTTTCCTGTGGCTCTCCGTTTCTTAAATCTCGCTTTCCCAGCACTTTCCATATTTACGGAGTTCCCCTGAGTATTCCTGATCGACATGAATTATGTCCGCTTGATCTTCCGGCCCGACCTCGTCGCCAAAGAGACGAGAGTAGTTTCTAGAAGAATAAACGTGGATGAGTGTAGGCAGAGGGAAAAAAAAGACATAAAGAATTAGCCAATGGGAATTCAGTGGTTACCCCTCTCGGTCGTGCCCAAGGCCTAGGAAGAGTCTCCTGCACCTTCCTTGCATCTTTGATCGTGTAACGAATGGCGAGGCCAGCCCTAAATATTTATACGTACGTACAGTCCGAACTCGAAATGCGCGGCCGCTCTTGGAAACGGAAACGGAGGTCTCCCCTCTTCGGACTATTTTCGGCGAAGCGAGTACATATGCGCTCGATTCGGCAAATCGGACCCACTACTCGAGGGCGCCCTACCGGAGGAAATGCTTCCAGGTGGACTCAAATCGGTCGAAAACGAAGGGCGACTATGCCTTGTCTAGACTCACGGGGCGTCGTGGATCGGACTCTTCTTCCAGAGTCGATCGGCGACGTCGATCCCCCGAGATATCTTCGGAATATCGACGATTGAAATGCCAAGACGCGCGGAGAGAATTCTCCGGGACCGAGGGAGAATAGGAACGGGAGCAAGCAGGACAAATTGCGGGCTCGAACAATGAACTCGAGCGCGCCGACGCGAAGGTACGCCGGTCGGACTCGCGCGTGCCCACCGCGCACGCCGAGCCGCGCAGGCTGCGCGGACGGGCTGCGCGGCCCGCCGTCGAACCTCGCGAGTGGATGCTCGCGGACACGCGTGCGCCCGCTCCACGTAGGAAGCCACTGACATTTCAAAATGTCACGGGCCTCTCTCGCAACGCGCTCTTTCGAGCTCGGGTCACAATGGGCCTTTGTCGTATCGTATCGACGCCGGGCGCCGAGCCGGCGCCGCGAGGGGCGAAGGCCACGGCGCCCTGCCGGGGGCGAGTTCACCCCCAGGGGATGCTTCGCGCACTTGGACGCGGACGAATCGATGAAACGGGGATTAAAACCGGGAAATCCTCTCCCTCGAGGCTATTCCAGGTTACTCGGGGATGCTGGATTACCCGGGATAAAGACTTGATATTGGGAAGGAGGATGTCCAGAATCTTCCAGGTGGGTCCATCTCTGCGGACCATCCCTTCGGATCCTCCCACATGGACTCGTCCGGTTAACACACCCATGGCTATGGCGGTTCCGGCGACCGGCATTAGTTTCAGATTATTTAATCGTTCGCTTGTTTTCGTTTTCCCTTTTCGCCGAGGTGAATCCGTTAATTCATTCTTAATTAATGTAGCTTACGGCGGGGCGGCGACGTCACTTACCGGAGGCCCCGGTCGGAGGTGAGTGCCGGTCCGATCGATAGGCTCGGCCGCGCGGCCGCAGCGGATCCTCCGCTGACGACGCCCGGCCGGGAAGGGCCCGGTGGCAGAGGCGCTCGCGCGGAGAGCCCGAGGAGAGTCGGCGACTGAGAGACCGAGCCGCCGCGCCGCCGCCCGGCCGGCGTGGCCGCTCCGAGCCGCTCTGCCGCGCTCTGCGCCGGCTCGACGTCGCCTAGGCGACCCCGGAATCGATGGATCGAATGTCGCGCCGCGACACGACTGCGAGCTATCGAAACTCACGATTGCTTTCGGGGACCCCGACCCTCTCACATCGCTCGAGCGGCGGAAAATCATTTACTTGATTTTTATGATGACTTACAGCGTGGCAATTTTAGGGAGGTTAGGGAAGTTTCGAGAAACTTTTCCGGGAGTCCTTCCTGCGCAAGGGTGTTAGCAATATTAAACACTGACATCGGGACATTGTTTCCTTTTTAACAGAGAAGATACACGGGCAGTAATAAATTACAAACGAATTTCTTCACCGGTTTTTAATATTCCCGCTATGAGAGGATTTTTGGAGGTTATGTCACTCTTGGCAGAGTTGTGCCGATTATTATGGGATGCTTAAAATTTAATATTTGACGGACGGTAAATTGTTCCGGGCAACGGTGAGATCGTTTTGAAGATTCAAAAAGCAGTCTCGTTAGCGGTGTCGATGGTTATTTGCTGATTTTTTAAATATATCACGTACCTTCATTCGGCGAGGCGTTGGCCGGGATTGAAAGTCGAAAAGGGCGTTGGGTCCTCCAAGTCAAATGGAAAACCTTAACTTCGTATAAAACTAGGCGAAAAATATGGAAAATTGTGAATGTCAAATGCGAACTCTGAACCGACCACCATGAAACTGGGAAATAAATTGTATCGCGGACAAGTTCAACCCTATTGGGATTAATAACACGTGAGTTAAAAATGTCGCTGATTGAGAGCCGAAATAGTTAAAAATGCGATCAAAGTCTAGGCTCGTTTGAAACCGGAAAATAAAAGGAAAGTGGTTGTGGTGAGCTTAAAAGAACCAACATTTTCGAAATATTTCAGCTAAGCGAATACGTAGTGACGCGGTAAATTATTGTGAATTATTGTCAATTTCCAGACGGTCAGGTAGAGAATGATAAATTATTAAGAATAATTATAGAAAATGATAAGCCTGCGATTCTTACCTCGGTGCCGTTCGCGCACGCTTATAAATGTATTTGGCGTGAAACTCTGCCGAGTTTCCTGATTCCAGTTTTAGACCGGAAGTGAAAAGACGCATTCGATCACCGGGGGCCAGAGGAAGTACGAAGACCGCGGGATTCTCCCACGAACGATCCAGTACCTCTTCGAAAAAATCCGACAAGTACCCTAATTGCACCCATTCCCCCAAAATGGCATTCGTCATCGCTAAACAAAGTGATTAAGATTCCGATTGAGCCGGTGATCATTCGCTCCATTTCTGCTGGTTCTCCAGCAATAGCTCAATCCGATCGTCGTAGCGGAAGCAACTCGCTCTAACCCCTGAAAAGGCTCCGCCATTAAACCGGACTATCGTTTTCAGAATCCGGAAAACCTCTACTCGGTGGAGGTGGCCTACCTCGAGATCTACCACGAGAACGGCTACGACCTGCTGGATCGGAAGCAGCGCGAGGCCGCGACTCGATTGGAGGATTTACCGTAAGTCTCTCGATATCGTCTGGCCACCTCGTGGCTCGAGGTGATTTCGTAAAAACGACATTTCAACTACCTGTTACGCCTCTTGCGGGCATAACGTGGCCATAGTTGGTACACGTATGGCAAACTGGTTGCGCCTCGAAATACAAATATGGTCCGAGGAGCGAGTCCGAGAGGATCGCGATCCTCTTTCGGACCTCGAATCGAATCAGCAGGATCGTTACTTTAAGGCCCACCGATCGATCTATCCGTCGAGAAGTGGACAAACTATTTGAGACAAATAATTGAAGATTTGTTGCAGGAAAGGCACCATCCAAGAAGACGAGGCAGGTTGCCTGCATCTCAAGAACCTCGGTTTCCGACCTGTTGAGGATGAGAGGCAGGCCCTCGAATTGCTCTTCATGGGCGATGCCAATCGGTCAGACGTGGTTATTTAAATATCTTAAGCGTCTGAAAATACCTTCGGTACGCTTTTGCGATTCCTTCAATTTGCCTTCGAGGATAAGCCGGTGTCCTTAAAGAGACTCGCCGCGTATCTTCGGTTCCGGTGATTATTTTTCCTCCTTTTTATTTTTCAGGGCAATATACGAGACGCCGATGAATCCTCTGTCTTCGAGGTCGCACTGTGTCTTCACGATAGTCGTGATCGTGAAAAAATTCGCCGCCAATCGCTACAGTAGAGCGAAGATGCATCTAGTGGATCTTGCAGGGTGAGGGTTTTTTCGTCTGGGTCTTCAAGGTGCAAGCTAGGCGCCTGGAGAAAGGCATCCGGGTGTTCCCGAGTGTACAACTCGTGATCTCCTATAGGGGCCTCTTGGATGTCACTAGAAATATCTCCTTTTATCACTTTTCTTTTCAACTCCGAATGAGTGTATAAGTGCGCAATCTCAGGGACGATCTTTACGGAAGCGAAACACATAAATTTGAGCTTGCATTACTTGGAACAAGGAACAACGCAGACCGATCCTGAAAGAGTAGATTCAGGTAGAAGAAATTTAAGAACGAATCGATCGTCTACGAGGGATCTACCGAAGGAACCATTACAATGTATAGAAAAAGACATCGCAATACCTGAAGTTTCCAGAGGACCCTCTTTGACAACAACGGAAAATATCCTCGAGAGTTGGAGAAATAATTAAAGTCAATTGCAGGAAGTGAACAAGGATAACGAGGAGGATTTGTCCTTCGAGAAGTCATTGCCCCTAACAGGTGATCCGGAGATAGACAAAGAAATCATCGCGCATTTTACGAAGCGAAACGTTCTGGCGGTGTTTATTAAAATCCCTAATCGCTTGATAGAAGAAGAATATCTGTTAAAATGTAATAATTTAATTAAATAACATTTTTAAACGAAGATCACAAATACTACACGCGGTACCTGCGGTGGAGAACGGTTGACTTTGTTAAGTCTACATTCTCGTCGCTTTGGATTTATCATTTTAATATTTACATCGCGTTCGATTATACTTTTGAAGTATATGAATCATGACTATGTATCACATGTTCACAAAGTATCGTACGACGCTACCTTGATAATTTTTTAATCATTTCGATCGTTGCTGATCTATTCAATAATTAATTATAACGATTGCACCTGGCGTCCTCGACGTCAGGTCTTTCTCCCCACATTTGAGCTTCCAAAATGATCAATTTTGCGCCTCGTACTACGAGCAAGCAATGTCTTTTCAAAAATTCACGCCGTTTTCGTAACTTGAACGTCGACAATTTTTCAACCTCCATTCGAATACCTTCTCTGTGTACGAACCCCTCGATGCCTTCGAACATAAATTGTATCATTAATTAAGGGAAAGTAACAAATAATATTATGGAAGCAACTTACCTTTATATTCATAAATCTGTATCGTGTCATTATTTTCCACAAAAATCAAGAAATTTTCGATGAATCCATCGAAGTTCAAGATTGTGAACAGCCGCGGTTTATACGTTGGTATTACTTGCTGGATTACTTTATTTCCCATATAATCGATACTGAAAATCTACAAGGAATCAGAGGAGATAATTATTACAAGAATGTAACTTTACTGAATATGAAAATACCCTAAAGATACTTACGAACACATAATCCGGGGTAAGGTTCGCATCGTAACTTAGAAACATTTCCCTTTCAAAAATTCCAGTCTTGAAACTGATAATCTCCCCACTATCACAATGGTCTGAAAAAATCGAGCTGTTCCCATGTTCCGAATTGTATTCGTAAATGACTCTACCATCTGTCAATAAAATTCTGTCAGAATTCGGTATAATTTTTAAAGTCCCTTCCGCTGCGGGATATTTTCTGGGACCTCGACTTAGAGTTTCGATGTTCCATTTTTCCAGTCGATTATTTACCAGAATAAAGAATGCCTGATCATTGATTTTCTTTATATCCGTTATATCTCCAAAGTTCTGGACATGCTGTAAATAAATGACCAATTTTTGTAATATTATCACTCGTGCCGATAGACATTTAATTTATAGAGTAGCATGACGTAGTCACATTTTACTCACCGTGAATTCATTCCCTTCGAATTTCCATAAATTGCCAGAATTTCTTCCGCAACCAGGTGCTCCTATCGTGAGAAAGTACGTACGACTCTCAAAATCGAAGGTGATCCATCGATGGATAAGTGCAACCTCAGGAATATTAACATCCACAAACTCGACCCCATCGAACATAAATGCGTTCATTCTACAGGTATCGAAATTGACAAGTAAATAGTCGAGCCCATTGCTTTCAAAGTGATGCACGCTTAGAATCGACTGATTGAAACTGAAGATCCGCAGGTACTCAAAATATTTGTAACGATAGATCTGAACCTCGGCGTACTTCTTCAAGGCGTTTAAGTCTTCGCAAATTGTTTTAGCATCCGCCTGGAAGGAAAGTCATTCAAGTAATCCGGGTAAAGAAATATTGAGTCAATTAATTCCACCTCCGGACGTGATACGAAACCTTTGCATCAGAAGCTACGAGATCCGTTTCCAATTTTCGTTTCGCCATCTCGTCCGCCCATTTCTTTACGCTGACTTGATTCAAAAGACCTTCTCCCGTGACATCGCCATTGAAGTAGACATTTCCATGAATTTTCCAGTTTCCAAATGCTGTCTGCTTCATCGGAAAACTCGTAGAAATGACTGCTGCCTGCCATTTTAACGGATCTATTTCGTTTATTAAGCCCAGCACTCGTAAACTGTCTTTCAAGACGAGAGGTTCAATAAAGGTGACATTTCCTAGAAGAAAGCAACGTCAAAAATCATTATTAATTATGCCTTTTCATTGAATAAGAGTCATCAAAGAGAGTACTGTATCTCACCGACTATTGTATCATTTCCATCTAGAGAAATCGTTTTAGACATGTCAACACTGTTGATGTGCGTAACATTCAAGTCACGAAGTATGCTAACATCGCCGAGGAAGGAAATATTCCCCGAAATCTCCTGATCACCAATTAACTGAAAAAATAAATGTTCATTTATGTCTATTCAATACTCTCCACTTTTACAATTCAACATTTATCAAAATCTTTCCACTTTACCATGAATGTGTCTGCGTAGATATCACTCAGGGCATGTTCATTTACAAGACCGTGGATCTCCATTTTTTTAGCTTTGACATACTTCGCCCTAATCCCATCAATGATGATCCTATCTTTCCTCAAAGGAATCAGTTTACTTGTGTCGATGTCATTGATCTCCTCTACTTTGAGATTACAATTGAAAACGGCATCATTGAACGTCATCGACCCTGCAATAAAATAATTGAACCTTTAATTCATACCTTTATCCAAGAAATTTCCCCTCCTTTTGTTAATGAAGTTACTCATTTTGAAATTCAATGCAATGAATTTACCAAGAATGTAAGTAGATCTGCTGAGAAAAATCGCACTTTCCAGCAGCTCATTTAGATCGACATCTTTGATCGAATTGCACTTCAAGTCTTCTTTCACAATAAGCTCTTGCTCAACGACAATGTTATCCGTGAAGTTTACAGCATTGTTAATAGAAAAGGGCTTATCAATAAAGACGACTTTTTCAGCAAGGGTCTTCAAATCAACGCCATTGAACGTATCCACGATCATGAGCTTTTTTTTAAAGACTGCCGATTTATCAAAGGTCTTAGTTCCCGTGATAACAGCGCTTTCTCCTTGGCGAATAACATTCTGCAAGAACTTCTCAATCTGGACATTTTGGATGGCGTCAGATACATACAGATGTTCGATAATAGTATCATTGGTGAACGTAAAGTCCCCTCGAAGTTCATATCTACCATCTAAGTATTCCACCCGGTTTATTAAATCTTTGTACAAAACATCATTGACCATCCCAGTGGTATCGAAAGTATTCTCCACGTTGACATGTCCTTTGACAAAAATAGGGCCAGCAAGGATCTGATGTTTTCCAGGATCCAAAATCGTGTCCACAGGACGCCCGTTCAGGTTCTCGACTTCCAGTTGGTTGCAGGAGATACTTTCGAACTCTTTTTCACCTGTTATCACGATGTCGGTATCGGTTTTTTTAACCGCGTCGTTAACGAATTCCGTAAAGTTCAATCCATTAACAAAGCCCATCACCGTCAGGTTCTGGATGGACACATCGTCGTCAAAAATGATATCACCCAGCTCTTCAGGAAGGAAGAATTCTTCCAGCTTTCGGCCATTGATTTTTTTTACTCGTACTGTTCCGTTTACGAATAAAGTGTCTACTGATAATACGCCATCGACTATCTCTTGGTCCCTGGACTCCATTTGGCTCTTCAGGCTCTCCAATTCCTGCGTGCTTATATCGTTGATAAACTGCACCTCTAAGAAATCAGTTTCCAGGTGATCAGCTTCTATCAGACCTGTCATGTTTTGTCTCCCTGTTCTTGACACTCTGTTGGTGACAAACTCTTCCATGTTAATCCCGTTTATTATCCGAGGCTGAAGATCCTTCACGTTCATCCTGTTCACTTTGAGCTGGTCGAAGTGGACCTCGCGGAATGCATTAGCGTGCAGTTTATCAAACTCCTCTTTTGTTATCTTGTCGTTTAACTTTCCAAAATCTAATTTCTCCACCGTCAATGGACTCTTGAATACGATGGTTTTATCGAAACACTGGTTACGGCTATTTGTTTGGTTAAGGAGAATCTCGATCATTTTTATGTCGTCTCGTTCGAGTGTGCCGAAAGTCACGTTCCCTGAGATCTTCTCTAATTCTGAAATACGAATGGATTTAGGGAAAAGAATTATTTGGTAATAACGTAGTAGGACTGTCTTAAGATATTCCTGCAAATTACCAGGAAATTCCTGCTCGGTATCCAAGGTGAGGAATTCTTTAAAAACGTGACCATTAATTTTTCCACTGACTGTCGTGTTTTTCCCTAATTGAACTTCTTCCAGGAACGTTTTCTTCCCAGTGATTTTAACTACTTCCTCGGTCTTCTTCACCAGGTCGTCGAATTCCGACCACGTTTTTCCTGCTAGTGATTTTTCAATATCAACATTCCCCATTACGTGTAGATTCGAAAACAGGACATTCGACGTCACTTTATTCGATATTTCCAAAGTAGGGCCAGGCTGCTCCGAAGAAAGTCCTGTTATTTTTCCATCGATCTAAAATTAGTTTCAATCAATTATTAACATTTATGTAAAATTGGTTAATTGGAAGGTACACTTTATTATTGAAACGTCATGACATAAATTGTAAAACAGAAGACCTGAAGAGTTTCCTCAATTATCAGATCGTCAAAGGTGATCTCGTGGGGTAAAATTTGATCTTTGTCGAGACATACGAAGTCGTCCATCGGAATTCTATTTAAAGTATCAACTCCAGTTAGACTCGACACTGTCAATTTTTCAATCGATTTCATTCCAGTGATATTCTCTGCCCTAGTGCCATCTTCCATGACAAATTCAGTAGGATACGCCAATCCATTTAAATTGTCCAACTTTATACTGTCTGCTGTAACTTCCTGAGAAACGGCATTAGTTGAGTAATTCCATTCTTTTTTTTTTATATATAAAGTAAAGACGCGTAAAGAATCAACTTACTCCTTCTACGGTAACGGTGCCGGAGATTGTTGCTGGTTTATTCTTCCAAACGATGCTTTTCATCAAATTCTCCCAGTTAACACCGTTCAAGCTTGACAGATTTAAATTTCCATTCACTACGAGGCGTTTCAGTTTCGATAAATCGGCACCTTCGTAACTTTTCCTTTCAGTTGCGAAATTAATCATCCCAATAGGAACTCCATTAATGGAATTAACTTTAAGGTTCTCAGCCTCGATTGATGGAAATTTTTTCAAACCTTTTATCAGAACATTCTGATCCCTGTATTCATTTCTTAATTCAGATAAAGGAATACCGTTCAGTTTGTCTATGGTTAAATTTTGAACGGCCAGTGTCCCGGATATCTCGAAATTCCCGAAGATCTCGACATCCTCTAAAACGACATCGGTAGAATTCGAGGGAACTAGATTTTTCAAAGCGGCATCTATTTCCAGAGACTTTCGGTGCACTTCTTGGGCTACTTTTTCCACTTTATTAAAATTCGTTTGGATGTCTTCGGCAGTGAAGACCTTCGAATTGAGGGTCAAACTTTGATATGCAACATTTTCAGTAAGCGTTACCGTATTGGCATGAATCTCGGAGAGCTGCCAGAAACCGGTGATGTTAGGATTCACGAAATAACTTCCATTCATCTTTGCCTCTGTTTCGGACAGAATTAAATTCTGCTTACAGAATATTTCCTAAGGCAGAAAATTCCCCCGTATTACTCGAGAACAATTCCGTAGTTTCAAAAGAGACCCTTATATAATTAATATCTTAGGTACATTTAATGATTTAATGACGCTGACCTTCAGCGAATTTTTCAACTGCACCATTCTCTCCATCTCACCATGAAGTGGGGTCTGAAGAGTCGTCAGCTCGGTGTGAATGTTGACGAAACGACGTTCATAGACGAGCCCGAATTTTGGCAGGACCACAGCCTTCGACAAGTCGAGGTCACGGATAATTGAATTTGGCAAAGGGATTCTTTTGAAGTCCTGGCCTTGCCAAGATAGGGCCACGAGAGTACCATTCTTCAGCTGCACCAAGAGCAACGACTCCTCCCTGTACGTGTCCATAGGAACACTCTGCATCCAAGACACTTCACCGATATCTAAATCAGAAGTTATCAGTTTAAATTGTTCCTTCACGTCCAAAACAGAAGTCCTCAAACCCGCCTTACCGTCAAATAAATTTTCCGAGGTGCTGTCGAACTGAAACTCGTTTTCGTAGAAAATGTAGAGACCAGCCTCTGGTCCAGAGATGGCCAAATATTGGGTGTATCCACTCTCGAAAAGAAGCACATTTTTCAGGCCATTCGAGGTGATGTTTTGAAACTGACTTAGCTCTCCGTCCTTCACGGCGACGTTCCTGAATTCATACAGCAGGACATTGTTGGATCCTTCGAGTACGACCATAGTATGTTCATGAAGATGAGACACGTGTATACCATAAATTTGGGGGACGGTCAAACTCTGGCTGAACCTGAAAAGCAGAGTAATTTTCAAAACTGCATCAACAATATCTTGAAACAAAAACCACTAACCAAAATTCAAGCTGACTCCCAACGATGTTAAATCCATAAACGTCGACCACGGTGCGCAAGGACTGTGCGATTTCCTTCGGTTCGTTCATTAACAATAATTTATTATACCCGCCATGTCGAAAGTACTCCAAACCTTCCATTCGTTTCAGGATAGGCCAGGACCACATCAGTTTCTCTTTTCCATCGGAGATCACGTACCACTCCAAATTCCAGCCATTACTCGAGCCCACGCACAAGACGACCAGAAATTCGATGTCCGTTTCGCGTTCATCCAAATCAAAAAAATCGATTGCCCGAAAGGCCGTGACTTTTCCAGGAATCGACCAGCTGACGTACTTACTGGTTCGACCGATTTGCCGATCGAAATGAAAAACTGATACGATTGATCCTTCGGTGCCAATCAAGTACCACTCGTAAGCTTTCTTCAGAACTTGCCAATTTTCGTCCCCCTTTAGGAAACTAGGATCCTCCTCGACAGTAATATTCGTTACTCGCAGTTCTGAAAGTACATTAAATGTCCATGTTACATTTATGAGTGAGAAATAAAATATTATACCAGAATAGGCTTTTAAATACAAGCTCACCTTCTCTGTTTCCAACTCCAGTCCCGAATTCGTACTCGTGCCAAATTCGAGTATCTTCTTCAGTATTTCTGGAGTACCTCTGGGCATGTATTCCCGACATAATGTGCTCCAGTTTCTGAAGGGTCTTCCCAACTTCGAGGTGGCATTTTGCGGTAGAGAATATTAATATGAAAAATGTGATCTTGAGGCGATTCATCCTGTCTTCCAGAAACTCTCTCGACTTGTGACGAGGCACCAACGCCCAGCAATTAATTCGCTCCTTGAACGGCTCTTCAAGTTCATAAATATCAATATTTTGCTTTTGTAGGAATGATACAGGAGAGCTTATGTATTCCTTTCCCCTCTTCCTCCTCGTAAACGGAGATAGACTAGAATCTTCATAAATATGTCAGCTGTCTAAGTAGACGTGGACTCGATTTCTTCGTAAGGCTCATTTATTCCCGCTACGAATCGCATGAAATCATAAATAACGTCCCTAAATTACAGCCTGTTACGAGCGATCGCGTACTTTCTCCCATACTTCCTTGAACTCACCTAATAAGTCACTGGAACGTCACAAGAGCAATAACGCTAATTATTAACTATTAAAAAAAAATAACTTTAAAGTCCTCAGAATCGCATGTACAATAGATGTGTATAAAAAAGGATTTATTTCCTTATTTCAAGTAAACCGCAGCGACCTAACTCGTTGCACTTTAGTTGTAATGCATTTACAATCGACTGACTAATATTGACTAAATAACTGCTAATTACAATAATCAATAAGTATCTGTAAACTCGTTCGGAGAGGATACGTTCTCTCGTCGTAAGGGTATAAAAAGTAAAAAAATACGCCACGCGAATTCAGATTCACGAAGTCCCGTCCTTTTCGGACCAGACGAAAAGGACGAAGGATCAAATTTCATCACGGATGATTCGCCAGCGAGGAGGGATTTTTTCATTTCAAGGGACAGTGACGGATATGAATCTGGACCTGTCGCCAACCTTCGGCTGGAACCTCAGGTTGACCTTATCCTTGCCCTCCTCGCCGACCTCTAAGAAGGTGTTCCAGTCGACCAAGAAATAAAGACCGCTCCTACGAGGAGTCGGCAAAACGGGGTCCGGTGCTCTGGTGCTTCCTCCGAAGGATTCCTCAAGGCCGGCGAGATTAAATGGACTGGAAGTGGTGGACGGCGCATCCTGGAGGACACTCATCGAGGAGGTTTCTTCCACGACCTCTGCGTTCGCCTTTGTGGTCTCTTCGGCAGCGGTCGAAGCAGTCGAGGTCGCTTCAAGATTCCTCGAAGACGGCGAGCTGGTCTCCGTGGTGTTGGCCGAGGTTGTCTCTATACAAGTCGGGTCAATGAGTCTTCCATTGCTCCAGGACTTCGAGCCTGGGCGGGTACCAGAAAACTCCTAGTGAAAGGATGCACGCGAGTTCCAATCGCGAGCATTCGCCAGAGTCATCGAGGGAAAGATCAAGCAAAGATCCGACATGAATCTCCGACTAGGAACATCAAACACGTAACAGAAAGCGAGAGATCACGATCCAAGCTGAAAGCCCTCAAGCAAAGAGGTGGAACTTGAAGAGGTAGAACGTTTTAGTAAGTAAGGACCCTGAAGACCGATCGCCTGCAATCAGTCTGAACGTGCAGGTCATGTTAATTAGCATGCCTTTATCCTTTACAGTTAGGTGGTGTCCTCTCAGAATGACGTCCAAAGCGTTCGAAAGAACCTGAAGAGATGCCACATTTTAGTGGAAGAAGGAAACCTTAGATACCAGTATCCAGAAAATAGACTGACTTCGCATTTGCCACGTTAGTCAGCGCATCGTCGTCTTTCCGGCTGAGAGCGTTTAAAAAGGCCCAAAATGGAGACGGAGACGAAATGAAAGCGATTGATGAGGAAGACCCCGAAGTGGCGATTTAAGAGGTCACCCCGAGAGTCAATCCCCGGCTGAGAGTCTCAGCTTGCAGGTCACGTTGGTAAGCATGTCCTTAACCGCGGTTAGACCTTGAATCATCTTCCCGACCCAGAATTTCGAGGTGCCCAACAAGTACAGCATTATTCTCTTAATACCGGTTGCAGCAGTCGAGGTCAAGGTCGGCTCGTCTTCGGTACCGGTTCCATCGGATTGCTGGTCCCGCTGGTCCTGCTGATCCTGTTCACCCTCCTGATCCTGCTGTTGGTTCTTCTCCGGCTGCTGCGTGGTGAGGTCCTCTTGTTGCCTCTTGACCTCCTTCCTAAGACCATCCCTGTAATTTCTCAAGATCTCTTCAAGGCTCAGAGGATCGGGACCACCCGACAGAGATTTGGACGAGCTCAGAATTCTATCGGCGAGTTTTTGAACCTCGGTGGCCTCCACCTTGCCCTCCTGGACCAGCCTCACCGTGTCTAGGAGCTCGTGGATCTTCGACTTCTGCTCCTCGTCGCTCAAGGACGCCTCATGAGGCTTGAAGACGTGCAACTTGGACGTCGCGGACACCTCAGGACTCCTTTCCGTGGATGCAAAATGGTCCACGCTCTTTGCGGTCGGTTCCGCCTTCGTCCGCGCGATCAGACCGATGTTCTCCAAGATCCTCTTCATGGTCGCCGGAACCGCGTCCGCCAGCGGAGAAGGCCCATCTTTGGACCTCTTCGAGTCTATCGACTTCTGACCTCGGATCTCGCCCCCGAGGCCAAACTTCGCCAGGAAATCCCTCATGTCTTTGTTGTTCACCGGAGCTGTAGGCAGTGGCTTGAAGTTAGTGTACGAATTCTGACTGACTTTCACCGTAGGTGGCCTCCAGGTCGTCGAAGCTTCCCTCCACTTCTCCGCGGCCTGCAGCCCGAACTTCTGGAAGAGCTGCTGCACTTCAGGGGTCAGGTTGTCCATTCCCTTCCTGAAGTCCGAGGGAAAGTCCCCGAAGGTATTCTGGCTCCCTAAAGAAGATGAAGTTCCCCCGCTCGCAACCAGTCCCGAAACTCCATTAGGCGATATGTCGCTAACTCGCAGGTAGCCTTTTTCTCCACTCTTCAAGGCGTTCTCCGAGCGAATCCCAATGGAAGTCAAGATGCCTTCGACCTCGTCGCTGATCGGCGAAGACGTCGTCGAGGCGTTCAAGAATCCACCGGATGCTATTGTGTAGGTGGAGCCGTACTTCGGCTTTGCTGAAGATGTGGTAGCCGTGGTCAGGATCATGGGAGCAACATAGACCGGCGACGGTCGCTCGTGTTTCAACTTAGACCTTGCATCATTATTAGACACCATTTGCTTCCAAGTAGCTAAATCGATCGGTCGTTTGTTCTTCTCCGCGGTGCTCTTCAGGGTAGATTCCGTGGTGCCTCCAGTACTGTACACGATTTCCAGCTTGGAGCTCTCCGGGACGTTATCCTGAACATTTTCATCCAGTTGATCGGACGTCGACGTGTCCTCCAAGCTTCTCAGGTCGAAACTGAACTTCTCGGGCTCTCGGTTCCGTCCTCTTTGGTTCTCGGCAACTTTTTCTAGGGACGAGTCGACCACCTCGGAATATGTTTCCTTGTGATTTTGAAGAGACTCCCGCAACCTTTCCACCGCAGCTTTGTAAACAGGATAACTCGGGTGGTCGGTTTGAGAGCCTACGGAGTTATCCTGATTTTGGCCAGGTGTCTTCCAGGAGTCCAGGAGCTCTTCCTTCCCGACCTGGTTGCTCGAATTGTTCTGGATCACCTGGACCAGGGGAGGCTTCGAGAAGAGCTTCTTCAGGGTATCTTCGGAGTTCTCTTTCGCGCTGTAAGGAAGAACTACCATCAAAGCTTTCCGATATGCCGATCGGGTCTCTTCAGGGACTCGATCAGCTTCGTCTCTCTCGGCATCTCTCGCGACTACGTGGAACAGAACATCGAGAATCTGATCTCTGGCCAGCCTTGGGAGACTCGGGTCCTCCTGGATCTTCCTTTCGACTTCCTTGATAGTCCTATCGATCGATGTCTCGATTTCGGTCCTCGATAATTCTGCAGAGTCCAGACCTTGACTCGACCCGAAAATGGCCAACAGGCAGAGGGCCGCGATCTGAAAGGGGGCCATAATTAGTACGTCTCGTTACTCTCAGACCGGTCTCGCTAATTATCGCGACCAAAGAAATGCCCGACAGTCGTTAAACCCTGGTTACTCGCCGGATACGGTCTTGGTTGCGCAAATAAAAAATCGGGACAGGACAGACCGCGGAGATGTTGCGACAGTCGCGTTTAAATCTCGACCTGTGAGAAGGAACGACCGAGGGGTCAGGTTGTGACATAGAGAAGTACTCGGTATTAGCCTCTTCTTTGCCACTTTTCTCCCATTTCCGCGGATATTGTACGAAGGAAATGGGGCTTTCGAAAGTGCTTCCGGTAGAGAGGAGCCACACCACTCCGCCGAGGAAGCGAAACCGTGTCCTAAAAACCGAAGTCCCCTCAAATCCCAACACCTTAATTATCACGAGAATTACTCTCCCAGGTGACACGTAAGCCTCTCCAAGATTCTCAAAAAATTCGTCCATACCCTCAGTGTACAGGCCGATTATCGTTGAAAATTAATCTGCAAAACCCGCCATTCCGACAAATAAAACAGCCATTTCCTCCGTCACTTAACACTCAATAAATATTATTATAAATATATTACATATATGGACCGCCGAAACTAAACCAAAATATAGAAAAAACCGATAGCATAAAACTGGAAACGTGAAGAAGTTAAGCTGCGGTAAAATACTTCGGCTCGGAAATTAAATAAAAAAAAATCTAGTGGCGTTGATTATTCTGGTCTATGAATGAGACTCATGTTGCCGGTTGGTTTTCATCCTGAAATTCGGTAAAAAAAAGAAATATTAAATACCGCCGATGCGGAGAAACTTTCCGCAGAGGAGCATCGAGATGCTGACCGACGCATGCAAGGCCGATCGATCTAGCCAGAAGTTATGGAAAGGAGGATAAATATTTCCATATTCATAGACGGGTCTCGGCAAAAGATCCTTGACTGTCCGACCGCTCGAGAAAGTCCAGTTGGCCAACGCAACCTGTCGATCGCCGTTCGTGTTAACGACGATGCGTCTTTAAGCCTGTTTATACGGTGGTTAAGTATCCACACGCGAGTATCGGTGGTTAAGGTTCAGGTCGTCTTGTTGCATAGCTTATGCAACCTGGTGCTTCCTTCGAGCTAACTCTCGGCGACCCTTTACCTCTCTTAAGCACGGTGGTATTAAAAGTGTCCCACCTTTTTAATGCGTGAATATGTGCTTTAAAAAGAAAGAAAATTTATACTTAAAATGGGCCTTTCCATTTTCTCAAATTCCGTGGCTCAAAGGGCTAACTCGATACCCGCAATTTGTCGAAATGTCTAAAAAAACATGTCAAGAAAAAAAAAGAAAAGAACGAAAAGTAAATTCCCGATATAACTTCGATCAACTTTCGGGACAATGCCAAGTGACTAACACATTCGCGAGCGGCAAATTTTTATCCGTTTCAAATACTGAGTATCGGCGAAAATAATGAAATTCTGAAACTGGCAAACGTGACAACGTGAATATGGAGATATTCGTGAACGATTGACTTTTCGGATGCCACTTTCACATCCCTTTACCCCTTTGAACACGGAGCCATTTCGACATATGGGCGAAATTCGTCTGACCGGGCAGGCAATATTGGACCAAACGTCGGGCGCCTCTAGGCGCTCTTAGTAGCCAAAGGGTTAATTCGATAACACAGGGTGCGCCGATAACGGTGCTTCGGGAGGATTGGAAAATCGAGCTCGAGACCGTGTCCTTGAAAATCCATTCCTTGGCAAAGTCGGTCCACTTATCCGAGGCTCGACAGCGAAAGTGACTTTCGTCCCACGTGTTCGTTTCGCGCTATCCGCGGGAATTCCGCTGGAATTCGCCTGGGAATTCCGCGCGGGAAGGAATTCAGGGGCCCCGAGGACGTTCTTTCGACACCCCCGGGGAGATCGGGAAATTCTTTCCCGATCGTTGCACTCCGATCGTTCAATTAAGCCGAGACAAAGCGAGCAGGACGTGCTCTTCGGGCACCGGAAAAATCATTTCTCGGTCCACCGGTCCTGAAACAGCTACCGCAACAGATCGAAACAGCTCCAGGAACGAGCGACCTTCTCCAGGAGGATGCGAGGACAATCGATAACGGAATTAATGGAAAGTCGATCGGCAAGCTTCGATCGAGGCTTCCGATAAATCGCTCGACTCGCTTTCATGCGACAACCAGTTTCATCGTGGAGAAAATTCGTATAAACGCCCTCGACATTTTTTTTATTTCACTCGACATTTGCAGTATCGACTTTTGGGGTTATTTATCGAGGACTCGTTTTAACCACCCTTGAATTTCAAGTTGGATTTTCAAATTTAACCGAAATATCGATCGACCAGCTCCGATCGAGGCTTTCGATAAATCGCTCGACTCGCTTTCATGCGACAACCAGTTTTCATCGTGGAGAAAATTCGTTTAACGCCCTCGACATTTTTTTTATTTCATTCGACATTTTGCAGTATCGACTTTTGGGGTTATTTATCGAAGACTCGTTTTGACACCCTTAAATTTTAAATTAAACCGAAATATCGATCGGCACTCGATTCGGCGACTTCGATAAATCACGCACACCCGATCGCTCTAATGTTCAAAGAAGTCGGGTGCCGAGGTCGCGAGAATCGATCCCGGCGGAGGGGTCGATGGATCGAACGACTCGAACCGATCGAGAACTCACCATGGCGACGACACCCAGTCGTCCGGAGTCGCAGTCGACAACTGACTGAACGACGTGGACCTACTTTCGAACTCTCTTTCTCTGTATCTCTCTCTCTCTCAGTCTCTCTCCGTCTTACGCACTCTGTTCTCCCCCCATTTCGAGGCACGTCCGATGAAGGCGATCGCAATCGTGAATTAAAATCAGTAAAATTAACAGAAAAACGATAATTAAACGAAGTTGACATTCGATGGTAATTGAATGTTTCTTCGATATTGCCCTTAAGCCTGGCTTATGTTTCCTAACCTTAACCCTACTTTAATTATTAATTATTTACTATGAGGAATTTATGGGGAGCGTCTATGCTTTCATTACCTTAACCTTAATTTTTAGCATAATCACTCTATGAATCTCTTACAGTGAATAATTAAGTTAGGGTTACATCGCTCATCTCTGGTTATATTAAGGTTAGGACGTATGCATAAACTAGATCTTAGTTGGAAACGTAAATATGTATCTTTTGAATAATGATACGATAGCAATTAGTATTTCTGTAATTTCTTCGGGAAAGAAAACGAAAGTAATGTGCGTGATGCGTTGCACTCGGTGGACTCTTCTCTGGGGGTAAAAATACTTGTTTCGTGAGAAAAATGATCTGCGCAGATACCGGCAGTGATCGATCACACTCATGTACATACTTCTTCCCTGATCTGCCAGATGGCGCTCGAACGTTCGAACATTCGCGATAACGGACAAATCTTGCTCATCATTTTATTCCTGTTTTGTCTCGGTTTAATTGGGACCGCTTCCGAACTGGTTTTTGGAGGTGAAAAGTGCGAAAACTGCGTCTGGCATTAGTCGTCAATGTTTCTACGTTGAACTCAGCCTGATTATAGGTAACAAACGTTTCTAATCACCGCAAATGAATTAACGAAACGGAACGACAGTTCTCGATGACCGACGACCTTAGGAATATTTTCGACGGCCTTGTGACTTGTGTTTTCGTCAGCCTTAGTTCTATTCATTTCGTAGAGTGGTTCTATTCTTAATGAGTGTAATATACGAACCAGAGGAACGATTCAATTTTTGGTGAGTTGTCCTTTTAGGTGTGTCAGGTGTTCGGTCCTAAGGGACATTGGACAGTCAAATGGAAGATGAGCTCTCACCATCATCTGAATCCATCTTCGGGCGAGGTGGAACATATCAATTTACTGTCAGACAACATTGGCGCGTTGTATCTGTCCGATGATTACTCAGATATAATGCTAATCGTTGATGGCCAGAGATTCAATGGACATAAGGTTATATTGGCAGCACGCAGTCAGTACTTCCGGGCGTTACTGTTTGGCGGTCTCAAGGAATCTACGCAACAGGAAATCGAACTAAAAGGGACAACATTGCCTGCATTTAAAAGTCTGTTGAAATATATTTACACGGGGCATATGTCATTGGCTAATCAGCGTGATGAGGTTAGTTAACCAGTAAGCAATCTCGTCGATTCTGTTCAAACTAATTTGTGAAAAAGTAAATGGACATTTTATTTTCTACACAGGCTGTTCTAGATATTTTGGGGCTAGCGCACCAGTACGGATTCCTAGAGCTAGAAGCAGCAGTTTCCGATTATCTCAGGGAAATATTAAGCATTAAAAATGTGTGTTTGATTTTTGATGCCGCCCGTCTTTACCAGCGTCAGTTTCTGATTAAGGTTAGCTTCACATGGTAAAATATTACGTAATTAATAAATTACATTCCTATTAGAAATTATAATGCATGATGGAAATATCTGTCTTTTACAGGTGTGTCATGACTACATGGATAAGAACTCGATGAAGATTCTACAACACGAAAGCTTTTTACAGCTTAGTCCAGGTGCCTTGAATGAACTCATCTCGGGAGACTCATTCTTCGCTGCAGAGATTGACATATTCATCGCAGTGCAAGCATGGCTGAAAGCGAATCCTGACATCGATCCAAGTGAAGTGTTGGGTATGTTTGTTCTTTTGTCTAGCACATAATCAGTGATTTTATTTTTTGTAATAAAGAAACATGGGTCTCTTTAAATAAATATATTATTTAATTCCAGGTCAAGTAAGACTGAGTCTGATATCAATTACTGATTTACTAAATGTAGTCAGACCGACAGGACTGGTGTCATCTGAAGTTATTTTGGATGCAATAGCAGCACGGACTCAAATGCGCGATTCTGATTTAGCTTATCGTGGACAATTGCTGGTTGGAGAAAATGTTGCACATCCAAGATACGGAGCTCAGGTTTTAGAAGGAGAAATGAGAAGTTTCCTTCTAGATGGTGATACTCATGGATATGACACTGAATGCGGGTATGTCATTGTGGAGCATTTACTGAATCAATTGTAATAATTCCAGGACTGAGGAAATACTTTATTTTCGTTTGAGGGCTGCTTTAGGACTTTTTTTGTTAACTGAAAATGATTTATTTTCAGGTATACAAGACACACTATAACAGAGTCTGATGATCGAGGAATACTCATCAAATTGGGCACTCCAAGTTTTATCAATCATATTAAGATGTTATTGTGGGATCGAGATCAACGTTCTTACTCCTATTTTATTGAAGTACTCAGTAGTATTCTTTCAAACATTTCAGCTTCCATATTTCGTTTTTAAAAGCTGCTTTGAAAATATAATCTTAGTTATTTGATGAGTTTATCTAACTTTTGAAATCAATCACAGGTGTCCATGGACCAAAAGGACTGGGTTAGAGTTATTGATCACACAAAGTACCTTTGCCGTAGCTGGCAGTACCTGTATTTCGAACCAAGGGTAGTCCTTTACATACGTATAGTTGGTACCAAAAATACTATTAACAAGGTATGTAATCCTGCACGATAAATTGGTGGAATATACATTAGTATTTCTCTCACAAACCGAAATAGTTAAATATGTGAATTCCTGATACATAGCTCAATAAGAGATATGTAATCGATATGTAACAAAAAATTAACATTTTAAGATATTCCATCTGGTCAGCGTAGAAGCTTATTACACAGACCAGCCTGAGGCCGTGTGTAATGGTATTGTTGTACCAACTCAAAATGTTGCCACTATGGACAGAAGTGCCAGTGTTACCGAAGGAGTCAGCAGGTAAAAAGTAACTCCGTTACAGCATCTATGAAAAAAATATCAAATTTGGGATGCATAATTAATGACATTGGCAATTACAAAATTCAGATCTCGAAATACCCTGTTAAATGGTAACACAGTTAACTACGACTGGGACAGCGGATACACTTGTCATCAGCTAGGTTCTGGCTGTATCCTGGTCCAGCTCGGTCAGCCATACATGATCGATTCCATGCGGTATGATAACATCTTAACCAAATTGGCTGATAACTTTTTCGTCCAGAATTTATTTAATGTTTAAGTTTAAGGTTCTTCGATAAATATTTTTATAGTCATAAAAATAATTTACCATACAGCTTGTTACTGTGGGACTGCGATAGTCGCTCATACTCGTATTACATCGAGGTGTCGGGAAATTCACGGAATTGGGAACTTGTCGTAGACAAGACCAGAGTACCTTGTCGTTCCTGGCAAACCTTACACTTTCACCCACTTCGCCCTGTGGTCTTTATACGCATAACTGGCACGCACAACACAGCCAACGAGGTTAGGAAAGTTACTCTTGCATGTTTATCGTAATATGCATTGGAATAATTAAAATAAAACTACGTAACTTTGCTGACCAACTCTTGTATCGCTTTTTAATTTCAGGTCTTTCATTGTGTGCACTTTGAGTGCCCTGCTCAAGTTACAGAAGAAAATGCCGAGGCATCTCCACGCCATGAAAGACAGGCTCATCAAAATGAGGAAAATCCAGAATTTCCACCACCTCCGGAAACAGCCACCGAGGCTGTCAACATTGATCACGAAGACGACAGTTCAACTGACGATGTCGCGATTGCGGCGGTAGTACCTTAATCATTGAACAAAAGTATGAGAGGTTACCCAACTTCTTTAACGATTATCCATTATTTTCCGCCGAGGAAAAAGGAAATGTTCTCGTCGGTCACTAATTCAAGCATGGTTGCCCATGATGTTAAAAAATGAGATACTCAAGGCTGCTGATCGCGTAAAGAGCCGAAACTAATTTTTGGACAGCCTTCGGTGTATCCCTAAGCCCTGTTTAATATTGATTATTTAAGAGTAGCAATACGTATAGATATAAATAAAAACAAAAATATTTATCAAGATTTCTCGTGGGAAGCATGACAAGTGTCGGTAATTTCAAATGAAATTATTTACTGTATATATATATACACACACACATCACATTTTTTCCATACGCGTTCTTTAATGTATTCTGAAAGTTGTCGATGCTTTTCCCCAATCAACCTCAGGATTTATTATTATTACTATTAATGTCATCATCGTTGCCTTTCGATCAGTCCTCGCAGGATTCATTCGGAAGTCAGTTTTGTCCTCTATCAAGTAACGGTAATATATATTTAATGTGATCAAATAATGTACGGGTTTCCAAAACAAAAATAAACCTCCTGCAATTTGGCGACTGCATGGCCACTATTTTATAATTTTTTATGTTAGAGCTATTTTCAAATTGCGACTCCGTGTTTTAGTGAGAGCAGCTTGGGGTGTTTAGCCAAAATGTTAGTGTCGACCCCTCACGATCTTTAGGTATTATGTACAGTACCATCTCTGTACAGTATTACCAGGTATTACCAGAGAGAAGATGTGAGTAGCCAGGCCCAATGGAACACAGCTATCAAATTTTTGCGACATGAGCGCCGTTATTCCTGCGGATACTACTAGTACTTGAGGCACAGTTTCAACAGCATCTCTGTGGGTACTCTCATCTTTTCTCTGACACGATGTGTCCGTCGGTACGACAGTTACCGGAGTGGATGTACATCTTTACGACGCACTCGCCGGTCAGCAGTTTTTGTACCCTCCTTTTTTTTTAATAGAAAAGGAGGGATGGTATCATCGAGTGATGCGATGTGTCTAAACAAAGAATTGAAAAATCTACAGTGCAGACGTAGGAAGTCGTGTTGGAAATTTTGAAAGAATTCTTAGGCTTTTACGTCTCGGCGGTGCGACGGTAAATTATCAACAGTCAGTGTACATGCCAATTGTCGAGCGATTTATCGGTAACGGGTAGTCCTTTTGAAATATTTCGCAGTGCCATTTTCTTTCCTAAAAAGAAAACTGAAGTATGATTGCTGTATATTCTTGATAAATATGTGATGTTAAATGTTAATAAATGATTTGGTGTGGTAGACAATACGAGGAAGATATTGAGGTGGCGAAGAGCAAACTCATGGTGATCGAATATTACTGCGGCCTGGGATTCATTAGGTGAGTTTGCTGCATATGATAGTTATTTAATTAGTTTGCACTTGGAAACTTTTAATACATTAAGGAATCAAAAATGTGATACTGATAAGGAAGTTTTCAGATGATGTGAAAAACAAAAAATCGGGCCCCTCCGGGATTTGAACCCGGGACCTCCTGCACCCAAAGCAGGAATCATACCCCTAGACCAAGAGGCCACTTGAGAGTACAATTTAAGAATGAAGTACTTAAACCGAAGTGAAACCCTTTTTAAAATTGTCGATTCTAATATAACACTTTTTTTTTAAATATTGAACAAAACTGTCCGACATTTTTACACATAACTCGTAAGCACCTAGGAATTATCCTGACCCTTTCAAAATTGGGATTTTAAGAAAAACATTTTTTAACTTAGCCCAGACCAGAACGAAAATGGCGTCGAGTTTTCATATCTCGATTGATATACAGTTATTGAAGACTCTAATATGAGAAACGTTTGTCATGACAATTGTACGACAATTCATAATACTCTGGTAATCGAGAAACTCGCATTTGAACGGGGCAAAGGCAAAAAAGTGTCTTATACGCTTCTATGCTAAAACAATGGTAATTATATACAGTTTAAAGCTATCGATGACAGGAACACCTCATTTCAGCAATAAGTTATCATACTTGTTACAATTTAACTGCGTACTTTTCGGATACCATGTGTATAATTGTAATCATTTTTCAGGGAAAGGAGCAACATGTGACGTTATGGTTCTTCCTTGACTTCTTCAATTGATTTTATTCAATTCTTTTAACTGCTACGACGAACAACAAGTGGCCTACTTATACACGTGTTCTCTTAAAAAACTACAACGACGAAAACATCACTAAAGTCCATAGAAAAGGAGTACAAATTTCGGGTGAGATGGTAAAATGACAATGAGACACCACGGAATGTACACGTTAAGTATTTTCAATGGTATCGGATGAATGAGATTTCTCTTCGAAATATATTCGCACAGTGTATACAAATTTATATTTCCAGGTTCTTCCATTTGCGTAAAGATTTCAACTTGGTCATCAATAAACGCCGCATTTCGGTGGAAACGGTAAAAATGTCTAAACATTAAGAAGGTATAAAAAATTCGCAATGCGTAAGCGAAATTGCGTAACTTACTCGCGATCGCCGCGCATTGTTTAACAGAATATTTTCAAACATTCGCATTTCTCTCCTCCCTGAATACCAAAGTCCGTTCAATATTATGTAAATTCTTTGTGCATACTATGTACAACAATGTCTTCACGACGGAAGTAAATTACGTACTCTTGTAAATCATTACGCCATCGCGATGTAAACGATTCAAAGTGCTGCACGGCTAATCATCATCTCCGGGAACATTTAATTAATTCTATATATAGTCAACGAGGATTCTGCAAAATGTCCGAGTAATAAATAAATACTCATCTGAATTCTTTTCTTTTTTTTCAGAAATAACTGCAGGTCCAAAGTGGAATGTCATTACGAAAACTCTTGTAATACTGTGAAGTACGCGTAAGACCCATATTTCTGTCGACACTCCGATGCGTTAAGTCTAATTATTATATGTACACTTCTTATCTAAACACCTCCAACTATATATTATATCTAGACTCAAGAGAAACATGTCGACGGTGAATTAAACCGTAGGTGACATTAAGTTCGGTAAAATAAGGAGAAACTAATTTCGTTAAATGGTTACTTATGAACCTTAGTATACAATGCAAGATATATATATCTTTCCCGAATTTCGCGTACAAGGTTTCAAAAAGAATAAAGGATCTCCTTTTACCAAACCGGATCGTGGCAGTGACGGCTTCACAAAATACATTCTCCCTCACAGAAATATCCTCGCAAGATTACAATAACAAGATATGTACACGATAAGGGAGGAACGCTCGTTATCAATCGTTACAGCGCATATTAGAGAAATATATTTCTCAGAATGTACTTTCCTCGGTGAGTATCAAAGACATTAGAAATGGATTCCCCGAGATACTTCTAAAAGAACATTTCCTGACGTTTGCTTCCGAAGGATCCCAAACGAATCCACGTCGAAGCGTCCCAAGATCGGCTGCTGAAGTTCGGCTGAAACTTCACACCCTGGGAGACCCGTCCCCCCATAATTGGTTCTCCATTAGTTCCTCATAAACGCCTACGTGTCGTTGCTGGGATTCGTCATTGCTTGAGGATTCTGAATAGTCGGCCCATCGTTCGCCATCAAAGTCGCCACAGGTTCCGAAGGGTTGGGGTTGACTCTTCTGCCCCCAGGGGGTACGTAATACCACCAAGCCAGGAAAAAGAATAGCAAGGATGCCGCTTTGCCTATCAAAGCCAGTGCCAGCATGTACCTGAAATGAATGCAAGTCGCTTATAACATCGGCGCGATGCTGGAGGTTTTCTTTATAATTTTCACCCCTTCGCACAGGGAGGCATCGTTCCAGGATTCAACTCACCGACTCATGTAAAAATTGTCATAGACGAGACACGCCCCTCTTCCCTCGCACGTCTCGTGCCAAAGGACGCAGGTCTCGTCAATGAGGGCCCCGAAGACCATGGGAGCCGGTATGGTGCCCAGGATCCTGACTTTGATCCACTGAATCCCGAGGGCGAAGGATCTCTGGTCGTGCCTGACGACCCTCAGGGTGGACGAGAGTGCAGGCATCGTGCACAGGAAAGTCATGGTCATGTTGCAAAATGCAAGAACTATGAACAGCCAGAGATGAGAGCACCGACTGGGACAGGTGGTGTTGATGGCGTCGTACGACACCCTTAACCCCGTGGAAAGGACGGTCATGTTCGAGGAGGGTGCATGTATGCAGCTGCACTCGGTGTAGACCTGCATCAAGAGTATCGACGCCTTAAAGTAACATAAAAGTGGCATCTCAGGGGTCAATCGCTTATGAAACATTTCGGGGATCTGAATCATTTGAAAATTTGCGACAGAAAAATATGGAGGACCTAAAAGGAAGCTCCCAGCCCCCATGAATTTCAATTTTCTCATAACAAAATTTTTAAATAAATAAATTTAAAAGAAAGATGGAGTATCACGTGTGTCAAGACCTTCCGTAGAGTCCCCATATGCGCGCTGTAAAATTTCAAACGATTCGGTGCACCCATTTTGAAGAAAAGTTTCATAAACCAGATCCTTCAGACGCGGAGTTCATAAAGTAACACGAGTTCCCGGTTTTCTATGAAAATTCCGGGTTTCCGTTCAACTGGAGTTACTTAAACGTCAATACCTCCTCCTTGTAGGATTAAATTAGGTTTTTTGGATCGTAGTACCTCGACGTCGTTTACTGGAGTGGCGTGATAACATCCGGCATAACACGGCGAGTAATAGGTAATGCCGTTCGATCCGCATATCGGATTAAATTCCGACGTCGAGCATCCGCATCCACGGTTGCAGCTGCTGTCCAGGGACAGAGACTTCCTGAAAAAGGCAATCGGATTCAAAATAAGTCACGGAGACAATACCTCGTCGATCTATCGATTTCGCCGCCTCCACTCGATAGTCACTCCCAGTGAAGAGGAGCCTCCGGATAACGAGCACCTCACCTGGCGACGCCGCTGTAGGGCACCGTAAGACCGGCGAAATCCAAATTTGGGCAGTTAAGGGCGAAGCCCAGGGTGAAAACTATGCAGACAGCCGTGGCACAGAGGCAGAACTTCAGGATTCCGGAGCAAGGCAAGTTCCAGCGTTTCACCAGGTAGCCACCTAAGAAAGTGCCTCCACCGCCGGCAGGTACGGTCACCAAACCTAGGTCCAAGAGAACCACTTTGAAACTCCTAAACTGGGTAGAAGCTCAAGACTGACTTTATAAAATCACGGGAAGGATTAAGTAGATAGAAGAACCGAAACGAAAAGGTCAATAGAGGGGGTCAAAAGAGTTCCCAAAATCTCACCAACGAGGAGCGCGGCGGAGCTGGCGCTGACGTTGAACTGGTTCTCGATGAACTTCGGGAGGAACGCCGCAAAGCCGGCGATCAGCAATCCCTCGCTGGCCCCAGCGAGATTCAGCATGAAGAAGGCAGGATTGCTAAGCAACTCCAGAAGGGCCCTTGGGATCTCCCGGATTTTCGAGAAGGCCTCCACCCTGGCGTTGGTAGAGGTCCTCTCGTGGGCCTCGGAGATCTTCTTCTTGGCCAGCTCTTCAGATCCTGGGAATAGAAATTCCTCGTTCATCCTTAAATCTCGAGAGAAGCGGGTGGGAATAAGAGTCGACACGATGTTCGGGTGTCTTCCTTGCAACCTGTCGACCTCCACCTCTCGCCTGAATGGAGCAGATTGGGACGACAAATCCCGAGGGCGAGAAAGGGATACCGAGGGTCTCTGAGCTATTCTTTGGTGAGTTGACGGTTATCCTTAGCGTTAGGGTGCCAGTTGGCAGTATCGGTTATCGGGTGGGTGTGTCTCTTCAGGGTACCTGGAAGAGATGCTGGAAAGGCGAGGAGCGGCACGGCGATCATGAAACAGAGGACCGCTGCTGCCAGGAATCCGATCCACCAGGCACCTACCCACACGTTGCTGGCAGGTGTCAGGCCCAGGCTGGAAATTTGAGAAAATCCGCCATTAGGGTCTAGCCAAGGAATATGGGATTCTCCAGAGGGACCAGGATCGCCCAAGAAGGTGATTTCCCTCACATAGGAATAAATATATTCTTGTTTATAAAAAAATATATATGCGGAAATAGATAACTTATCGCCGTAAAATATATCTGAGAATATATTCCCGGAAAAGTTGTCTATTTCAGCATATATTTTTGTTGTATACAAAAATATATTTATTTCTATGTGCGCCCGGCTCTTTCATGCTACTATTTTTGATACCAGATAAACGTGGGGATGGTATCATAGGTTCACGAGATTGTCTAAACAAAATTATTGATCATATAGGGCGTTATTATAAAACGGAGGCAAGGTGGGAAGCGATTTCTGGTGCAACTCCTAGACAGGAAGTGAAGGAAAAAATCGGCCAACTTTCACGGGGGATCCTTTGGTTCCCAGGGATGAGTTCCGGGAGAAAGCGGCGGTTTCCGGAACTCCGGGGCGTCTCCCGTTGGACTCGCCCTCTTTGGCGGGCAAACTCGGGAATTGGCGGAGTTTTGCCTTGGCTAAATTATTGAGAAACCCCGGAAGATTTCCCGAGGAACGCATTCTAAGTCGAAGGGGATTTCTATGCAAACTGCTTTGGCAGTCGTTCGGGAAACCCGGCACTCATTTACATCCGCGGAATGTTTCTCAACTAAGGGTAGGCTTTCCTTTTCTATTTCTTAATTCCCGAAGTCCTGCTCCTTTAGCTTCCGTTCTCTTTTTGAATTTCATCCGAGTTTCTATCCCTCCCTCTCGATAAATACCGAGGGAAACATAATTAGAGCCCTAAGAGTCGAGGAATTTTCTTTGGCTGGACGCGGGGGGTGGAAAATTCCCACATTCAGGGTGAATCCCTTCCCACGAGGGAAACTCCCGGTACGTTGCAACAACTGGCTTCCTATGGAACTTTTTCCCTCCTCTTTCTCCATTTCTCTCTCTCTCTCTTGTCCGAGAGATTACGCGACCGGAAGTTGTTCCTCCGGACGTTTTCTCTTGTCATTTCCCTCTCTCCGTTTCCTCTCAATGTCGGAGTCGCAAAGTGGAGCCAATTTTCCTTTAGAGCCTGCAGAATTGCCGGACGAGTCTCATCGAATTAGCGGAAATTCCATCTTCTCGTGCAATTTTATCAACGACATAATTCTCTATGTTTCTTCTTCTTTTTTTTTTCTTAAGGACGAAAACGGGGGTTAAAGATCTCATAAAACTCTTTCGCGAGGAAAACCCAAGGAGCGAGGGCTGATTTGAAATTACTTTTCCACGCGATTCCCTAAGAGCACTCTCGATCGAGCTTCGAGCTCAATAGTCGAGTAATTCGGCGACTTTTTGAACTTCCACGAAGTAGCACGACCCTCACGGAGGGAATCGATCAGATTCCTCTTTTACTTTTCCCGATTCCTGCCAATCGCCCTCAAAGCATATCGACGAATCCCCTCCGTAGCACTTATCGGAGAAGTACTGCACCTAACTCCGTTACGGGGCGATTCATTTTCTTCTTTTTTTTTTCCCCGCCCCATAGCCCCGGAAAAAAGAAGAACCTGCGAAAGGGTGATTGATCGTCGGAAAATCCCTGACTAACCTGATGATCATCGCTTATCGAACGGGTTGAAAAACTCCCCCCGTCGAGCGATCGATCGGAAAATCATTCGATTGAACTCTCCGAAAAAAATGGCCAAACGGGAAGAAATATCAGGAAGTGAGGAGAATTTTATACGCGTGTCGTTGTAAAGAAATTGAGGGTACGTGTAAATAACGAATTATTAGGTTCATTCTTTTATTTAGAGACGACACACGCAATGGATTTCGGGGGGATGAAAAAAAAAAATTAGTAACAAAATGGTCCTTTCAGAGACTCCCTTTTCAGATGAATTATTCCCCGTTCACATGCAACACGTTGGTACGGTTAATTGAAATAAAACGTGACGCGTTCGGCCGAGAAGGGATTTTCTTCCTTCCGGCTTTTTGTACCTTTACCGTTGAAAAACTGTTTCGTTTAGATACATTATACCGAATATCATAATGTACTCGTACATGTGTCTACGCAATATTCAGGATTTTAATTTGACATGCCAGTTAAAAAGAATCTCCGATAAATTGTCATAAGATTCGGGAACTTGTTTGTACATTTGCGCACTTGCTAATAATTAATTCATATTAATGATTTAACTGGTGTTATCAAGATTGTAATTTCAACGCGACCTTGAATACTTCAATTGCATGAAAATTACGATTATTTTTAAGAGGGCGTCGTCTCGTCGGATTTATATATAGAAGAGACCGAAAAAGACGTATCTCGAATCGCGGAAATACTTTCGACCGATTATCCAATTTCGAATTTGGAGAAATTCCTCGATTTCGGCTCGCTTACTTTTTCCTTTATTAGGAATAATCGAGCTTGTATAATTATCGCAGGGTATCTTCGGCCGATCGGAATCCTTTTTTACTTTCTACGGCGTGTCGTTGACGTTCGCCAAATTCGACGTGCAATATCGGCGAACGAGCGGCCGTCGAGACTCGTCCAAACATTTGGAAAATAGGACGCCGAAGTGCATCCACGTCCCCGCAAATGTTTGTCGCAAATATTTAGCCCGACAAAGTGGTTTTTCGGAGCGGGCCCGAGAGTTCGGCGAGACTCGCGACTCTCTATCCCTCCCGGAGGTGGAACTTTGTCTCTTTGCGAGGAGAGACAAACGGTTAAGGACATCCTGAAATCGCCGATTCCGCGGAAATCGACCCGGGGAAAGGTAATCCCTGCATTTATGCAAGGACAGGACACGAGGATCAACCTTCGAGAGAACTTCGAGGGAACTTTAACTCCCCTTTCGCGACCTACCACAATGCGGGGAGTTTGAGGCTTTCAAGCTCCTCTTGATTAATCCTTTCACTTTGCTTATTGTCTCGACTACTCGTTTATTCACTCACGAATCACGTGGTAAAACATTACACCTTCTCGATGGAAAATTAAGCGGGGAATTTTATTGCTGAATTTTTTTAACTCCCTTTTCGCGACCTACCGCAACTCGGGGTGCTTGAAGCTTTCAAACTCCTTTTGATTAATCCTTTCACCTTTTTTATTGTCTCGACTAATCGTTTATTCGTCCACGAATCACGTGGTAAAACATTACATCTTCTCGATGGAAAATTAAGCGGGGAATTTTATTGTTGAATTTTTTTAACTCCCTTTTCGCGACCTACCGCAACTCGGGGTGCTTGAAGCTTTCAAACTCCTCTTGATTAATCCTTTCACCTTGTTTATTGTCTCGACTAATCGTTTATTCGTCCACCAACCACGTGGTAAAACATTACACCTTCTCGATGCAAAATTAAGCCGGGAATTTTATTACTGAATTTTGTAATCGCAACTTCTTTAGCCAAGGTACGGTAATGTTGTTCTTGAAGGTTATGCGTCACTTAAAATCTGCATACCTTAATAGAAGTGCGACTCGCCCCTCAGGCATACAATGCTTCCAGAGAAAGTTTAATAGTAACTATCTCAGTAGTCACGAGTAAATTAAATTCCATTTTTAAATTCCGAAGGAATAGACATATCAGCACGAGGTAATGTTCTTATCAATTTTTTGCTAAGGTATTGCGCATTACCGTACGATAACCTGAGCTACAACCGATATGAGAATTCACTTCGGTAGTTCACAGGCGGTGCACTTTTTTAATATCAATTCCCAATCTGAAAAAGTCTGGGTTAAGCTCGCTTCGGCTCGAAATCTGCATACTTTAATAGAAGTGCGACTCGCCTCGGGAGGCATACAATGCTTCGAGAGAAAGTTTAATCGAGCCGAACTTCAGAGCGCACGCAGAGGTGCTCAACCCCCGCGAGGTCCCAAAGGGCGAAAAGCGGAAGTGAACTTGAATTATGACCGAGAAGCATAACGGCCGATATTAATGGTGTCTGGTGGCTCATGAATCGCCGTCCCCATGGGGAAAGTGTCACGCGGCGAGAGGCAATGTTTGAGAAAGACCGCGAGATTTACCCCTTTGTCGAACGTGCTTCTCTCTCCCTCCTGAACTTCCCCCTCGAACTCTTAGGGGATGATGCGCGCCGTCTACTTTGTTCGCATAGTTTTCTGTCGCCACACTTTCCAAGAGGCACTCGTAAAAGTTCCTGACTCGGAGAGAAATTTATAGGGAAGTCATTACCTGTCTTCCTGACAATTTCCCCGGCGGTTTGGCTCCCCCCGAAACGGCTATCGGGGTTCAACGTTTGAAAAACGGGGATTTAATGGGCAATGGGGAAACCCATCCTCCCATAGGATTCCCGTGATTTCCAATTTCGATTTCGACCCTCGAGTGAAGGAAGAAAAAAAACGTAGAAAAATAGGAAGGAAATTGACCGCGTTCATTAGGACCGAGCCAAGTGTCCCCATGCACTTTATGCAACGCGGTTCCATTATCTTTCCCGATTGAAAATCGAAATACGCTCTTCCCGCAGGGGAAATTCCTTCCGACTCGGGGTTTTCATATTTCGCGGTAATATCGAGTATTAAAGAGCGGGTGGCGGGGCTGCACACGCGTAAGTGCGGAATGCACGCACGTAAAGGACACTCGTTTCCCGCGTGTATAATGCTCCCGACGAGCGGCCGATAAATCCCGGACAGAATTTAATAAAGTCAAGCCGGCGTTCCGCCTAAACGCTCTCCCGCGGAAACGCGAGGTGCATATTTCAGAATTCGCAATATTTAAGGCGAAAACCCCGAATGCCGATTGCCTCCTTTGACTTAAGCTTTGTCAAATTGTCCCCGTAATTTCATCCCGATTTTTCACGCCACGATACCTACATCATATGCAATTCTACTTATATCTATCCCATTAAAAAGTGTTCGCAAATCTCATGCATTTATATGTACCAAATCGTCCTGAATTCACAAATACAAATTGCGATTTAAAGCAGGGTTGTGAATTTATGAAAAAAATCCCGAATTTTATGACAATTTTATTAGGGTATAATTCCCAATTCTTGGGAAACCTCGAAAATGTTGAATTCTTGTAAAATGTTCAGAGGATAATTGAACAATATCTTTGTAGCTACGTAAAGTTGTGTTAAAAAGGAACATCTACTTACGACCCAGCATCCAAGGCGAGGAAATCGACATAGAGATTCAATAGTTCTCCGCCGATTACGTAGCCGCAGGCTGGACCGATAATGGCCATCGTGTAATAGATTCCTGGACGGATAATTTGTTTATCAATATTTTGTAACGATTTGTACAGTGAAGATCGACCGAGGGTAATTATTCTCACCTAGATAAACGGAGGACATTTTCTTAGACACGTTCTCGTCGAGATAGGTGACTCCCAAGGTGTACAAAGGGGAAGCGCCGGCACCGTGTAAGAGTTGAGCGATTAAAAAAATGGCCAGATACAATCCACTGTGGGGCTCCAGTTCGGATTCCTCCGAGCCATTGCAAGATGTCTGGAAAGAAAAAGAGATCTTACAACAAATTAAACGACGATTTTGCTTCTAGTCTGGGCTAAATAAAAGAAACTTTTCTTTCTGTGAAAAAATGAAATTTCACGAGCATCACGTTCTTCCTTAGGGCCTTCATAATCACGTGTTAAAGTTTCAAACAACGAAAAGTTTTATAAATACTTTGACGTTTCATAGGACATTTCATAGAATGATCCTTTCATATCGCCTTAAATAGCCCTTAAAACTGTTTGAGGTCACTACGGAGAAAAAAACGATGACAACTCCCAAAAGCAACCCCCGAGGGTCCGTCTAAAAAAGTGACCAATTTCCTTTCCAAATCCCAAGGTGCGGCCGACAATTACGGGGAGATCCGAGATGCAGGACACCCCTATTAGGCAGCCTTAAATTTTGAGGAGGCCTAAACCGCCCTTAATGTCCACCCCTAGGAGAAGACCTCTTTCAGAAGACCCCTCGCGTCCCTAGGGACCGACGTTGAATGCTTCGGCCTCTCTGGGTCGAGTCTGTACTCACTAAATGCGAAGACACGTTGGCCACCCTCTGGCACAAGTATTCGTTCTGCGATCCTCCCCTGTACCGTCCAGCCAGGTAATGGGGTGCGGCGAAGAGCAGACTCCCGAAGCCCATCACCAGAACTCCGATCCCGACGTACCTGAGGGCCAGAAATTAAATCAGCCCCGTGTAGGAATTTCCTTTCTTTATTTTTCCAAGGATACGAAACCTTCCGAAACTTTTCCCGAATTTCCCCCCCGAAGCGGGAGGTATTCCATCCCGGGAAATTAATTTAAAATCCTCCCCTTCAAGGGAACCAAGAACCCCCGGAGGCTTAATTAAACGCCGCAATCGAGCTATTAAACGATATTAATATTAATTAACCAGGTGGGCCCTTTCAAATCGCTATCGATACCGATCGATCGACTCTAATTGGTCTCGTTCCAGCTGACCTGGGCTTCGAAGCTTTCGTCCGTCCTCCCAGATAGCTGACGGGGACCAGAAGCAGGAAACTCGCGATGTCGTATCCTCCGGCGATGAGACCCGTCTGGGAGGACTTCAGGCCGAATCTCCTCTCTATCGTCGTGATAACGACGTTGACGAATCCGTTGACGACCATCCCTGCAAGGAAAAAGGAACGTGCCTCCTCAGCAATACCAGGTAATTAAATATAATTACCCTAGATAATTTACCGACATTTTTACAGTAAAGCGTTACATACTATACGCTAAGAGTTCTTTAGGTAAATTACGCGAAGATGGGACTTCATTTCCATGCCTCATATTCCTATTTATGTACGATGATAAGCATAACCCCCTTTACTCCGCAATTTAATCTGATAATTTCAGAATCGATTACAAATAAAATATGAATAGAGACAGGAGACCAACTCACAGAAACCATGATGAATTGGGTAGCCTTGATTTAAAAAATCTATACTTTCCCATGGAACGTATGGTAAAGTGAAATAAAGTCTGGAAGGCCCCTTCACTCCTGCCAGACATTATTTCTAACTCTCTATTTTTAACGGAAATATTTATTCACAAATGAAGCGCACTTTGGATAGTTAAAAAAGAAAAAGTGAGATTACAGTACCGCCATCTTGGTCCTGCATATTACTAGGTATAAAATATTTCGTTTAGGTAATTTATGTAAAGAATCTCGAGTGACGAGTCACTCTTCAGGGCACGACCCTGCTCTTCAGGATGAGTGGTCGAAGGATAATGGTTCCTTTCGAGTGTCCGCGCATCGCCGTAACCCAATCCCTCTCTTCCCGTAATCAGAGCCCCAGGACCCTCGTCGTTATCAGCGCCCAGCTGATTCGCGTCTCAGGGGAGGGCAATCGGCCCCGAGGACTCGACATTATCGAGGAATCTATCGATCGATTAATCGGCCCGGATTTTCGGACCCCTCGAGGGCGATCGGGCCTCTAGAGGCCGGCCAGCCTCGGCCCGGGCAAATCTGCATACTCACAACGCTACGCGTATTTACACGCCGGTAAAATCAGAAGTGTAAACTCCAAGGCGCGCCTCGCCGGTAAATAGGCGCTTTTAACCTCTCTCGTAAAAATAACGCGAAAAATGAGCGCGACCGGGCAAACAGAGATCCCTCGAGAGAGGCAGGAACGCCGGAAGGGTGCGCTGGGAAAAATCGGAGAACGCGACCTACCGTGGGAAACGGTTCCTCTTTTTTTTTTATTTATATATATATAATTTTTTTTTTTCATCACCTTGACGTTCCACCTCCCAGTGAACGAATGAAATGAAAATATTTTCTTATTTCCTGGGCTCCATTATTTTTTTCGTAATTCACGCATCTCTTTATCCGTCGATCCACGTCCCGCCTTTTCTCACCCTGGGCCATGGGTGGGACACCATTGTCCGTCAATTCAACAGTCCCGAAGAGCAAAAGTGTACCGAGGTCGCAGCACGACGCTTATTGTTTCGTGCCGAGGGGAGACCCGCACGTTAAATCACCGTGGGTTAAATTTGTTTAAACTAAGTACCAGAACCAGTGGCGGGGGCAAATTTGCAGCCCTCCCGGGCCGATCGGCTAACACGGTTTTCCTCCTTGGAATTGACTCCTCCCTCTCTGTCCCTCGCCCTTAACTTTCGTCCCTTTGCGCGCGCCCCGTCGCTCTCTCGCTCTCCCAGAAAATTCGATTTCCGGTTATCGTCAGTCAACCCCCCTGCCCTCCCCCTGAAAGCTTTGAAATTGCATTTGAATGCGCCACTGCCGGTAATGCAGGGCACGGTGCTGACGCGATACGTCACCGAGCGCAGGTCGCTTGACATCTCGTAGGTCTTGTCGAGATTCGATCTTCGAGTTCCTCCCCCCCCAGGAGGAATTCCCTCCTTAAAGGGGTGACGTCCCCCACCCTCGCGACGGCGCTAAAAACACGCCGGAAATGAGGCGCGTCCACTCCCGTGGAAAGTCATAGAGTTTTCCAACTGTACTTTCGAATTGCGCAATTATTGTTCTCACGAGACGATTTGCATTATGGACTTGCACACCCGCGATTTGCATTACGGACTTGCATGCGAAAATCAATGATTACTGATTTTAGTTTAAGTTTGTGCAATTGTCGCAAGACGGCCGTAACCTTGATTATCGAGATTTTCCGGTCATTCCGCTTGAACGCAGAAGGTTCTCACTCGCGATTTGCATGCGAGCCCCCGTGCGCGGATTACATGTGTCGACACCCCGGTACAAGCTCTCTCGCCAACGTAATTCGCTCCACTTGGCAAAAGCTATCGATCCCGGTTAGGCAAATCCCGATTACCATGGTTCAAGGCAAGCGACGTTACCCAAGAATAAACGTCACCCCCCATGGACGGCGACTTGCCCCCTTTCGGGGAGGCGCGACGCCGAGCGTTCCGCAAACGTTCACACGGCCGCTAAATTCGCCCTACAATTTTTTGATAAATACACAGATTACGATAAATCGTGGCTACGTGTAATATGCCCAGTAAAATCGAGTTCCTCAAGATAGCCACCCACGTAACGACGAATCGTAGCGATTTATAATTTGTGCGGTTAACTCGAGTTCCACAATGTCGCCGCGTCAACTAAATCCGTACACTCTTCCACCCCAGGATTTATCATTAAATGCGTGGCCGGTTTTGAAGAGACAATAATTTAGATATAAATCTCCGAAGAGATATGAATTAAATTAAGAGGTGAAAAGGCTGGTAGTTAATCGCCTAATTAAATACCGAATTAAAGGGTACGCACCTTGCATGGCCCCTGCCCAGCAGAGCCAGAAGAGGGCCCATTTCGCCGTGCGAAATTTCTGCAGACAAAAGGGCCTGAACCAGAGCCATCCGCATTTCTGATTTTCCGGAGGGTGTCTCGGCTCGTTCCGCACATCCGGTTTCACGTTTTGCTTTTCCGGGCCATCGGCGAATTGCTCGGGCAGGCTGGACAGCGTCTCGTGCATGTCCGGGACCCCGGACTGAAGATTCACCGAGAAATAAGGGAAAAATCTCGAATTAAGGGAGCACCTTTCCGCCGAAAATCCCGGAAAACCTAAAGCGAGGACAAGACATTCGGGAAAATGGTGGGGAAAGAAAAGCTCGCGCGAAACTTACGCCGAAGGCGAACTTGTCGCGCATAGCTTCGCCGTCGTTTTCGCAAGTTTCCTCGTCAAGTAAGCGACGCGTTGCGCGTCTTCCGGTTTCCTCGGGAAAGCCGGAAAAGTTCGTTTCCGGTAAGCACTGCACTTAGCGTAAACGCAACACGTACGAGGCTGAAATGGTCGCACCTGGTGCCAGGGAAACCCCCGTCCTCGACATGCCCTCCTTTTCCCCTGGGGCACTAAATTCCGAACATACCCCTCACCGTCTGCGATAAATCTTGGGAAAAAGGAAAGAAAAGCCGAGAAATACAGTCTCGCCCCGTGGGGAGTTAGAGCGACCAGGTGCTCATTTTCCTGCGCCGATACCTAATTAATAATAAATTAATTCACTTTTCAGAGGAGGGGTTAGAGGAGGTAACTCCATGATTAGCGTCTCATTTTGATCCAGCTTTTCCTTTTCGTCCCGATAAGTAATTAGTTAACGATAAATCGATTCACAGCACGCGGAGCAATTTCGGGATTAACTGCGATTTTTTTGTACGTGCAGATAATTAGTAATAAATTCATTCCCTGCTCGCATAATGTCGAGTCCTAGATTATGCGAGCTTTCTAGGATTCTAGGATTTCATTCTGGGATTAACAGTTACGCGTAACTACTTTCATTTTCCTTTTTTTCTGTCTGACGGGACATTTCCGTCGAGTCGTTAATTGCAAATCACCTGAACAGGTGAGGATCGAGCTCGAGGGGTGAATTTTAATTGCAGCGTCAGCGAGAACTTCCTCTCGAGAAGTGCATCTCGCGAGGTCATAAGTGACGTTTTCGATGCATCCATGATCCAAGAACGATTCTACGAGATTTACAAAAACGCGAGACCTAAAAAAACGATTAAAGCTTGGAAAGGACAGTCCCTTGGAAAGTGGGGATTTAATTTCGATCTTTGCGGGATTGCTCGCGTCCTATAAGATGACATAGAACCACGTGTCTGACCGGAGTCTCTCGTTAGACAATAAAATGAGAAACGCTTTATTTTCGTTTCCTCTTCTCGTTTCCTTTTCATTTTTCTTTGGTAACTTTATCTCCGTGACTTTTATCACCGCTCGTCGCGGTAGTTTCGAACTAGCCGGAAGGCTCAGTAGAGATCTCCCGAACACGTGTTTTTCACGTGCAACGTGCAACGAGTCGAGTAATCAGCGTCCTTTTTGCTCTCTTATTCATCTCGCCTGCCGTCCATACGTGCCGTTAATTACACGTAATTCCCTGGCAGAGTTCGCCCCCTGAAAGCCAATCCCGAGGAGCGACTCCGCTCTAAAGATTTCACCTCCCATTACCGACAACACCTCGTAAATAATATTCAACGTTTCTACATTCCCCAAAGAAGTACAAGTGAAACTGAAGAAAAAGGAAAAAAAAGAAAGTGACGTCGTCGCGCGTTCTTAACCCAGTATTCATAAATTAAATAACATAAATCAATCCGCGAAGAAGTATTCCTCAAAGTTACAGAATACACTTAGCATCGATTTGCATATAACTCTCTTTCTCGTTTTTCGTATCTTTTTTTACGTGTATCCTACTTTCTATCCTCACGAGACGCCGAGGACTTTCTCCGTTTTCGCTGACATCTCAGCGAAAAGTCGAAAGTAAGAGCGGAAGGGACGCAACGTGAGATGTGCGCGGCGGCGCGGTCGACACGCGACTGCGGGCGGCGCGCCGTTCCCGAGCGCTGCCACCCTCGGGCTTCCCCCGCCGCCCCTCCCCCCTGCGCTATCGGCGCCCCACCTGTCCGTGACAACACTCCCCTAACCTCCCCTAACCTCCCGCACCCACCCCTGACCACCCCTAAGCACCCGTAACCTCCTCTAACCTTCTCCAACCTCCGGCTGGTCACCGAACGACGACCCCATGACAAACCCGTGACAACCTCCCCCTGAGCTAGCTGTTGCTTCGTCCTAAAAAAGCGATCCTGCAACAATTTCCAAAATGGTTAAGGAAAAATGAAAGGCGTCTCATGGATGTAACTCAACTCACCTTAAAAGAAAAAAATTGTATCACCTAAATTTCAAGGCTCTAGGGAGGGTCCCCATGAATCTTCACTTTTCAGGTTATTGACCCGTTATTAATTTTTTTTATTTAGGAAAAGTGAAATAAATTCGGTGTCAAGACTTTCTTTATGTCCGTAGATTCGGAAAGTTTCATAAAGATGCCACATCGATTTTATGGTTGCCTCGGAGCGTTTAAAGGGTACACGGTGGACCTCCCCTCTTCGATCATCCCCATAGTGACAGGGTGGGTAGTTAAGCGTTTTATTATTTTTTTTACCCATTTTATCAATTAACTTCGTCAGGCTCGGTGAAGTTCCTCCGAGGTGGCCGCGCACCGCGAAAAATAAGGGTGAATGCCGGATTTCGCCTCATCAATCTTTCCCGGGGTAGCAGGGTGAATATAACGTGCTTTGTAGTGTTTCCTTTTTTAATTAATTTCACCCCGAAAACCCAACGCGGTTCTTCCTGGTTGCCTCCGGGACAACCCTTTCCACGTAGGTTGCCACGTACTGTTGCTTCGGGGGGCGCAAAGGAAATGAATGGTGGACCTCCCTTCATCAATCTTCCCCCGAGGTGGTCGGATAAGTGGGCGAGAACCTCGCTCTCCTTTTTTTTTTCCTTTTCAGTCCTTTAAAATTAATTCTCCCGTGAAAACCCGGAGAGCCTTCCCTGACCCCTCGCGCGACCCGCCCCGTCTGCCCGTGACAACCCTGTGACAACCCTGTGACAACCCCTGACCACCGACCACTATTTCCTCTAAAACATGGAAGAAAAAGAACAAAATAGCTCAGCTTTCCCCGACAATCTCGTTCTCAATGAGTAATTAAATACTTCCTCCTACCCCTTTTTAATTAATTTACTAATAAAAAAGGTGACAACCTTCAACCGTCTCCTCTCGAGCTATACCACGCTAGCTTGTGATAATTCTATGATAATCCTTGACCACTCACCACTGTTACCCCTAAAACACGTGAAAGAACAGCTAAATACCTCAACCTCCTCCATCAATCTCGCCCTGAAAGAGTAATTAAGTACCTACCCCTTTTTTAAATTAATTTTCTTATATAAAAAAAAGAAGGTGAAAGCCTTCGAGCAGCCCTCTCGAGCCGCGCCCCATCTGCTCGTGACATCCTCGTGACAACCCCGACGTACACTTATTACTTCGTCAAAGTGCACAATGAGAAACGATTACGGTCTCCCATTCGCCGACCGAAAAGCTAAGGATAATTTCAGGCGACGCCAATTACACGCATTTTCTAATCACATTATTTATTCGTCCCCTTTCATCGCAATTCATTGCCCCCGGCCCAAGTGCACTTACCCTTGAATTTCCGAAGTACCTCGAGTGCATTTAAAGGTCCGCCCTTTGGTGCAACCCACCCCTGGTGCGCGGTAGCACCCTCCTCGCCGCCCCTTCGTCGTGAAAAAGGACGCGGGAAAAATTAAATAAATTAAGGAAACCCAGGTAGACGTGGCCGGAAATTTACGATCTGAAATTTACCGTCCGGGGTCCAGCACTTCGAAATAAATCATCCCGATAAAGCGTCCACTTCGAAACAGCTTGTCCCCCACCTGGCCTCTCTCTCGTTTAACGTCTCCGTCTCGCTTTCCATTCCTCGGTCCCAGGGCAGGAAAACCCCAAGGAAATTCGCATAATAATCCCCCTTCCGCATCCCGGGGTGGTTATTTATGCCGAGGTGCCCTTTCCATTTTTCATCTTCGCGTTCGCTTCGCCGATATACTGTTAAAAGACGCCACTGTTGAGGATTATTTTCCTCGCCCCTCGGCGTGCAATTTCATCCCCTGCTCCTCTCTCCTCTCCTTCTCTCCCGGCGTTTCCCATTTTTCCGCTTAATTAATGAAGTATTAATATCGGGACGTTGTTACGCTCCGAAATGATCGGGCGATTTGAGAATCGAAAATTGAAGGTTTAGGTGAACCCCCCTCTCGGATTAATTAACGGGAGATATTGCTGCGGGGTTAAATTGTATATACCGAATGGTTGGAAAATTAAAAACCGTGACAATGGCCGGAAAAAAGAAGCTGCAGGGCCGCCCTTTAATGGCGCTAAATGCAACGCGACTCCGCCGTGTCTGCTCGCAGCTTAATTGCGTTTTCCACGGGAATCCCGTCGGTTTTCATTAGAGGGTCGCTTGTTTTAAATCGAGGGGAAGGAGCTCCCTGTCTTAAGGATGTCTCGGCTGAATAATGTTTGCGAAAAGGAATCACGCCCAAGGAACGTCCCCTGGAAAGAGAATTTCCTCTCGCGAATGGGATCGAATCAGAAATCCATTCTCCTTACCTCGCGAAATAGCATTGATTTATTATCAAGGTTTTACAAAAAAATCCCTAATCTTGAAAAATAATTCCTTAGAAAGTTAAGGCCTTACAAAGCCTAATTAACGTGATTACTGATTCTAGGCCCCATCACCCCTGGATTATTAAAAAAGAAATGGCGACGTTTGAACCGCTCGAAAGATTTTTAATATAAATTTCATTCAACCAGTTGTTTCATATTTAGGATATATCTATTCTATGATATCAGGGTGGCTAGAATTCGTATGCAGCGCCGATATCACGTAGCAAAGGTCCTGAAGTCCGTGGGATTTCATTTTGAATTACGAGGGAGGGTGGCAAAGAAAAGACATCAGTGGCATATGCACGTGACACTGTATATATGTATACCCCGTGCAGTATAGACCCTCTATTTAAATCAAGGACTCACCTCTATGTATCTACATATATATGCCATTCTTACTATTTCATATTATTATTAAGAGTTCACTTAATTCGTATGCAGGGCCGACGCGATGTGGCCCCAAGTCCGGGATTCCATT